GTTACATTAGAGCACATGTACGTTCGCAAATTCCAATTACTTGCGATAATTGGAGAATTCCCTCGCTACAACCGGCTAAAGACAAAATTTGGAGCGAGATACAGGTATGATATTTGATTATTTTTAATTATGTTAATGGTTACATCTTTAAATTAATTATACTAACATGTTATATGTATGTGTATTTGTTTGCAGAGATCTTTTAATATTGATGATTGCAGGAGAAAATATTGTATTCAATTGGCCGAAAAACGACTGAGGGGATTTAGAGCGTTTTTAACGAACAAGTTTCTTAAAGATTCTGAAGGAAACTTTGTCGACTCGGAATGTCCAAAGAAGTACGCTGATCTGATTTCAGAAGAAGAATGGGAGACATTTGTTGTCAAGCGAAGAACGAAAGAATTTTTAGTAAGTACAACTTATCATGAACAATGTATCGTATATATACTTCTTCCACAAGAGTTCTGATATGACTTAAACTTGTTTTTTCAGGTTGTGAGTGGCGTAAATCGGCAACGGGCATCAAAACCCGCGTATCCATCAAAATAGCAAGTATATATAAATGCTTTAATATGATATAGTTATCAAAAATAGTAAGTATATATAATAGGATATGAATGCTTTATTATACGTCTTAATGTGTAGTTAGAATAGGAGAAAAGTGATGCAACATCTCTTTCGGACCATGTTGTGTGGAAGGCTGCCCGTGTGGGAAGAGATGGAGTCGTTCAGGAAGAAGTTCAACAAGTATTTGAACAATGTGTAAGTACAACATTAGTTTTGTCAGTAACTGATCAAAAGTGTATAATATATTTATATATATGCTTTTATCTATATTTCAGGAGACTCTATCCCAGAGTATAACTCCAGCTGAGGACGATGATTGCAGGAGCATACTAAGTCGGGTGTTAAATATTCCTGAGTATTCTGGGCGTGTGAGGGGTAAGGGATTTGGTGTCACTCCAGCAAAACTGTATAAGCAGCCAAAGAAAAAAATCCTAGCAATAAAGAAGTGATGGATACGTTGGAGGAATTGAAAGCCTAGATTCGTGAATTACAGAAGGACAAAGAAAGATACATGTCGGAAAGGCGCGGTCCAGAGGGTAAAGATACTAGTGACAAAGATAGTATCAATTGTCCGCAGAAGCTTCCAAAGGTAATTGTATATATTACATTGAAATTAATTTAGCACAATTTTCTTAATTGACACATTAATCGACATCATTATTTGTTTAGGGAATTTCACCTTATCGGCTATACTTATCGTCACCGACTTATTGCATGGTTGGCAAGGGAAAGGTGCATAACATTGTGGGAGACTTACTTCACCATAAACCGCTCCCTGCTGGATTTTTGAAAGTATCAGTTGATATTGCGTTACAGGGGGTGCGTTATTGCCTATATCAGATAATGTTTCAGATGCAACAGTGGTGGGAGACGCAATAGAAGCGTATGTTGCATGGCCGGCAAATCTCATTTTCATAGATGATGAGGTATGTTAAACACCATTATGAACCTTGTAATATTCAAATGTTTTACGACCCATAGATGAAAGTTATTCTTACATTTACATTTTCTTATTTATATGATGATCTTAGACTCCTACAAAATCCAAATTAAAAGATAAGGGAATCATTGTGCGGGAAACCGATTCAGCTGCTTCAAAGAAACAGGTACTACTACAGTTACATGATTATCTTATTATACATTAATTACTGAACTTATATGACTTTTAGGTTCATGATCAACAGTTGCAACAAGTCAGCAAGGGTAAGATGCCTGAATCTTCCAAGGTGCCCAACAAAAAAAAGGTCGAGCCAAAAAAAGCATATGTTCCTCGATTTAGGTTGTGCCTTGAAACATATGTAGGAACAACAGATGTGACTGAGGGTGGCATCCGTCAAATACCTATGGAGGAAGGTATTTTCGGTTTTAAATATATCGAAACAATTGCTAAGGAGGATTTGGACCAGATTTTCCAACATTCTGAATTGGGCATCGGTGTTATGCATTCCTACATCAGGTACTCCGATCCATTTTAATTAAATAATTGAACATTTTAAAATTTGTTCATTTAACTGAATATTCTAATGTTGATTATGTTTTTCTTTTAGGCTCTTGTATGACAAGTTGTTGGTCCCGCATGATTTGACTTCAATATTCACATTCTTATCTGCTAGCTGTATCAACTTAAGGTCAATAGATCACACACCAGATGTAGTCAAAGATTACATAGTCCAAGGATTTATGGCCGCAACTACAGAGAAGTTGTTCTTGTTGCCATATAATACTGGTCATGGGTATGACTTCAATCTAAATTCATTTATTATAATTATTCGATTTTTGTCATTCTATATAACATTTCCGTCTAAACTGTTGTCTTATTTTATAGTGGACACTGGTTGTTGGTCACGATTAATCCGATGAAAGAAATAGTGTATTATCTAAATTCATTGGATGGCGATCAAACAAAATATCCTGATAAGAAGAATATGATTGATACGTAAGTGATGAGATATACTGTTCTGAATAATTATATATCTTTATTTATTATGTGACATTGTTCTAAATATGTGTTTATATTATGTTAGAGCTATACAAATATTCATAGCACAAAGACAAGCAACAGTGCCAAAAAGTAAGGCTAACAACATTAGCTGGATTAGAGTGCAGGTATATTTTCCTATTTTTTACTGTTATAGTGGTCCTACTTGATAAAACTATTTAAACTATATATTCTGATAAATGTTCGTTTGTTTTTTCCATTTACAATGTCCTCATCAGCGCAATAGGATTGATTGCGGATATTTTGTATTGCGCTTTATGAAGGAAATTATTCATTTTGGTCAAATAGAGATTTCAATCATGGTATGGATCAATTCATAAATTATATGATTCATTTTGATAATTAACCGATGTTTCATCTGAGTAATTAGTTTTAAAACTAAATCGTGCATGTTTTGTTATATTATGTAGTACTTTGATGAATTCAAGTGCGGTACTTACTCGAAAGCAGGATTGGAAGAAATAAAGGAGGAATAATGTCAATTTATTCTTGAGTTGAGAAATGTATAAGGTATATGTATCATCCAATATTGATGCGGGATAATAATATTTCTGGAAGTCATATCTATTTGTAAAGTTAACGGATTTGTAATTATATGTAAATTGAATGTATTTGTGATGTTGTAATTCTGAGGATCGGATTGTGTTGTAATATATTTAAGCAGGTTTATGTGTATTAAAATGATTATGGGCAAAAGTGATGAATTACAATGTATACTTAAAGGCCAAAGTGTTGCAAAAAGGCCAAAGTGTTGAAATAAAGGCCTGAGTTATAAGCAGAGAATGTAATTTAAGCAGATTTATCGAAAAATATATAAAAAATGTGATTATTTAAAAAAAAAATTAAATCGTGAAGATTATACAGCGCTTTTACAAAAAAGTGCTGCTAAAGGGGACACAGAGAGCGCTAAAAAAGCGTTGTTATAGGTGGGGAAAGAGGGGGTCTAAGAAAGTGCTTTATAAAAGCGCTGCTAAAAGGAGGGTCTAAGAAAGCGCTTTAAGAAAGTGCTGCTAAAATGGGGGTCTAAGAAAGCGCTTTAAAAAAGCGCTGTTAAATGGGGGGTCTAAGAAAGCGCTGCTAAAGGGGGGAGGGGAGGGGGAATAGGCAGCGCTTTTATAAGCGCTGCTAAATGTGCTGCTAAAGGGAGCCTTTAGCAGCGCTTTTTCCATAAAAAAGCGCTGCCTTTACCTTTAGCAGCGCCACTTTAGGCAGCACTTTTAAGCGCTGCTAAAGATCAAAAAAAGCGCTGCTAAAGGTCTTTTTTGGCATAGTGTCTGGAGTTTGATTTCAAGGAATCTGAATTGCTAGGCTAAAGAAGCTTTGGTTTTATTAATCAAGAGATAAATATTCGAACGTGGAAAACGTGGGAATCAAATGCCGATTTTCATAGACGGCGTCGTTGTTCTGCTAGGGAAATAGGATTTGATCGGAGATCAAAGATTACAGATTGCAATGATGTACTTGAGCTTCCAGAATGATGAGAAAGAGGTTGACGTGCAAGGTTAACACTTCAATTTTCAAATCAATATAAAAGTAAGATGAGTGAGTGAAGTTTGAAGTTTAATTGTATTTGAGAAATGACATGTTTCATTTTTATATAGTAGAATGGTTATAACAGTTTGATGATCTTTAGGCGTAGAATGTGGGAATGCATTAGATGGGTTCTGAGTTCGGAACACTTGTACTCTAACCCATAATAGCATTCTTGCTCCATGAATGACTTGGTGGATCAACACATTTTTGAAATTACGGCTATTGGACTTTTCGATCGGCTCATAATCTAATCGGCCTATAATAAATGAAAAAACTCAAATAAATTTTAAAACTCAATCAAAACAGATTTAATTCTTGTAACTTGAGACAGTAAGCGCAACTCCAAATTTTATTTTATGCATCATCCAAATACATAAATTAATTTTTTTTATATAAATAAAATCGGCATACATCAAATATTCAAATATGACAACATACACACACAAATTAGGATTGATCGAAAGGTTGCACAAATAAGACAAAAAGCGGGACTTAGTTCCCTTCAACTAATCAACGAGTTTATCCTTAAAGAAAATTATCATATATTAAAAAAATGAAAGGTTGCTTTCAAATGACATACACACATTGATAAATTAGTGTGAGGTTCGATAAGATGAAGTATTTGTTCGCACGTCCCTTAATAAACAAAGACCATAAATGTAGCGTAGCCAATCTGTCAATATGAACCCCAATTTTTAAAGCCTATTCCCCTAATCTCTCACCTCCTTCCCCCTTAAATTCCTAATCCGTCCACTTTGCCTTTCATTTTGTGTAATCTACCTAAACCCATTCCATGCTTAGATACTATAATAGCCACATTAATCACCACAAAATATTAGATCAAGATACTTACACCTACCACAAAGTGACAAGCTAATTAACCAGCTCCAAATCTCAAGAAATGAAAAGTAAATTCAAAAACTCATATACACCTCAAGAAGAAGACACTTACATGTCTCAAGATTCCCCTCCTTCTTCCACCACATTAAACATCGATGGCTCAGTCACTTCCATCTCTTCAACATCTAAGAAAAGGTTAGTACACAAACTTATACTAATTACACTAAACATCCAATTAATTATATTTATTAACAATGCTAATTGTTTTTCTTTAATCTATTAAAGCAGAAGAGCCATAAACAAAAGGGTAGTGCAAATCCCAATCAAGGAACCTCAAGGATCAAGGCTTAAAGGAGAGAGTAATACTCCACCGTCCGATTCATGGGCATGGAGAAAGTACGGCCAGAAACCCATCAAAGGTTCCCCTTATCCAAGGTACGTATTGCATAAAAAAATGGTCGCTGATTTCATCGCGGTGGTTTTGTTGCATCTTAAATGTATAGAATATACATGTTTGGTAATTTTAAGGAAAATTTGTTGAAAGTACGAGAAACTGATCGTAGGTTGTTTTGTTTGGGAAATTGGTTCGTGTGTATGTGTGAATTGGAACACAGAGCGTACTACAGGTGTAGCAGTTGCAAAGGTTGTCCAGCAAGGAAACAAGTGGAGAGAAGCCGCGTGGACCCCACAATGCTCGTCATAACCTACTCGTCAGACCACAACCACCCATGGCCGGTTTCACGAAACACAACAAGACTCGCCGTGAAGAAAACCGAACCAGACCCGGTCGAACCGGAAGAGAAATTTACCGGTAACTTGGTTGGAGACGAGTTGGGGTGGTTAGGAGAGATGGATACGACATCGTCAGCTCTTCTGGAGAGTTCTATCATGGCGGAATTCGATGCTGACGTGGGGTCCTTAATGTTGCCGATGGGGGAAGAAGATGAGTTACTTTTCGCTGATCTTGGAGAGTTGCCGGAGTGTTCAACGGTGTTCCGGCGTGGGTTGTTGGATGGACGGCGGCGGTTAACGGCTCCGTAGGTGGGACCAGAACATGTTGACAAATTGGTGCACCATTTGACACGTTCTTCGCGCGTCTACATCTACACAAGAAAAAGATACATTCTGATTTATTTTATTCTTTCTTGTTTTACGGATTGTCCTTATTTTCTTTTTTTTTAATAAATAAATAAATTAGTATCTATATAGATTTAAATTATCTTTCTCTCAAATTAGTTTTATATGTAAGTTTAATTAATTTTGATTGAACTAGATATAAATGATCAAGTTTAATTTTTAATTATGTAAAATTTGTCACTTTGGTATTTATAATTTTAACAAAAAAAATGAATTTATGAGACTTATTAATTAAAAAAATGTTTAATATAATTTTTTAGTTTGATAGTTAAGGATTAAAGGTAGTATATTGAATGGGTAACATCTCATAAAAATTGGTTTTTTAGCTCTCATACAATTAACTTAAAAATATTGATAAATATTGATTGTTTAAGACTATTTCAGCATGATGATACATTACTTTGACAAAATATATGATATAATTGATTAATAATATAAAATGTATTTTTCCTCTAATAGTTAAATTAAAAAGATTAGACAGTTTTGAGAATAAATGAATACTAATTTATTTATTCATAATTTTTTTTCTTTTTATAAAATATAAATAGAGTATAAGAAATACTCAGCCTGGGCTATTCGATTGGCAAGTCACAAAAATCATAAAAATGTTAAATATATTTATATTTTTCGTAAATAATTTTTTTTAAAATTATGTATAGAATGATGATACATTTAAATCTTTTTATATTTAATTTTTGCATGTTTGAAACAAATGTTTTAAAAACATTGTAGGAAATTTAAAAACCAGAAACCTATATTTTATAAATAATAAAAAATCAGAAGACGTGATCCCGGAATTGATTTATTTATTTATAAAAATAAATAAATATTACTAATAAATTAATCTGACTCGTTTTAATTAATAGGTCTCAGAAAATAGTAAATGCAGAGCAATGAATTGAATAAATTTAAACAATGGATAGATTTGGATAGATTCAGATGTGAATGGAAGAGTAATTAGCCTAACTTGGTTATCCTTATGAACAGCCTGGGCCATGTTACTCTCAAGATGTGTAAGTTTTGAGTGGCGGCACCCATTTCTTTATTTTTTCTTAGCTGACTTTTTCCTTTAACTTGTAGAAGGATAGAACCATATATTAAATGCGTCCATTTATTTAAATGCCACTGATTCAGTTATTTTGAAGTATAATAATAATATTATAGAATTCTGCTGAGGAATAAATATAGATGTATGAATAAAGATTTTTATGTCCAAGTACATAGTAAAGATTTTTTAAAATTTAACTAAAAGTTTGAATCTCCGTAAATATTAAATTCTATTACAAAATATATATATATATATATATATATATATATATATATATATATATATATATATATATATATATATATATATATATATATATATATATATATATATATATATATATATATATATTTTTAAATTGGGGAAGTTCCATATTGAAACCAAAAAATCACTTAAAATTGAGATGATGACTCTTAATACAATGTTACAAGTCTTCGATACGAGTGAACATGAAATGGATCTGTAAAATTAATATTTTAATGCTAAGTCAGTAAACGAATTAAAAAAAAACTGGAGTTAAGTATGAAAACTGTGTATTTTAAGTCTTGTGCGCGTGCGTGCGTGGGTGTATGTGCGCGCGCGTGTGTGTTCCGATTTCAAAGTAATTGACGTGCCTTTCTCAATTTGGCATTTGTCCAATCCATAATAGCTGCTCTTAAGGCCGTTGTGAGATGTCAAATGGGAAATCTTGCAAAATCTGTGTCGGCCTTATGATATCGGGGTTAATGTGGATGAGAGTTGATGAGTCTGATAGTTGGGGAGTGGAGAGCAGATGCATTAAATTCCTTTCTCATCGTTGGGCTAGCATGCTAGGGGTGAGCTTCCTCCTATGGTGCTTAAGTGTCGTGGTTTTCTGAGGTATGATCTAATTGTTGCTTCTCGTTTCTACATTTTCTTTCATTTGAACTATTGCTTGTTTGGTTTACCTTTTCCTATATAAGGTTCACTTAGATTTTTGAATGGATTTTCGCTCTCATTACTAATTTAAGTATACTTTGCCTTTGAGAAACCATAATTTCTTCAAAATTCTTGCAATTTCTAGTTATGGTGCCCCATTTCCTTGTTGGAGAGGTGTGTCATTAAAGTTGTCATCAACCTTTTGCTTCCTTTGCTTGCCTTTGTGTCGTCTATTTGGCTTACATTCCTTTCAAGTACCATTTTAAACCTTTCACTCCTATTTCATATTTTCATTCCTTTATCTTTAAGAAGTCTTACATAAATGACAAACTTGCTAAGTTAGGAGGTAAATTTGTTGATGGCGGTCTTTCGTCATATGTGGGGGTAAAAACCCCCCAAATAACTAGAATACTACTTCTCCAATGCATGTCCACCTTAATTCGATTCCTATGATTATTTTAATAATTTTTAATCTAATGGTGCTTCTAGTAAATCTTATTTCGACGAGTCTTCTAGTGTTTTTTATGTGGGAGCGTTGAGGAATCCGCTGGTGGTGATCGAACTGATAATGTTGTTTCTTCATCTTATGAGGCCACTAGCGATTCCCCTATCACTCATTTATCATCTATGAAGATCGCCGCCTGAGGTGAACATATACTATAACACTTTATTAGGTCTTATAGAATTACTCAAGGCCGGGATCCTAGTGAGGCTGAGATCAAAGGTCAAACCGATCTTCGAAATCTAATGACCGTGTTTGGATGGCGCTGCCCAGCACCTGAAGGTCAGGAAAGTCTTCCATCCCGAAAGCCAAATGATGTGAAGCAGTACCATTGGGTAGATCGCAAATTGATAAGGGATATCTCTCTTAAGGCTCTTTTTGTAGAAGTAGGTATGCCTCTTGATTGGACGGTCATCCCTGTAGATTCTGATAAAAGGATATGTAGTTACTTTGACGGGTGTTCCATCCCTTTTTACAAGTGTGTGTGTACTCAGCTCAATTAGATCGCCTTTCAATGAACTCAAATTTGAAGTGTTTAGACATTATAAGATTGCACCCTTTCAACTACACCCTAATGCCCCCTCTTTTGGTAAAGTGTTCCACTTTTGGTGCGAATATCAGGGTTGGAAGTCATTCATGAATCTCTTTTTCCACCTTTTTTCATGGCACGTACCTTGCTAGAAAACCTTTGTGGTCAGGGGCTGATTTTGCTACGGCAAGAGGTTGAACAATTTAGTGACTACTCTGATAATTAGGAAGACTTTGAAGATTGTTTCTTCTTGGCGTGTCCTCAAACTCTATAAGCTTACATTGTCTTCTGCAGGATCTTCGTGGGAAAATCTTTGGCACCTTATTTTCCCAAGTGAGAATGATTAGTTGTGGTGAAAGGTCTCTTCAATAGGCAGAAAGCTCGGTTCAAAGTAGGACGACCACCTCTTTTCCCTTTGCTTATACTTCTACTTTCCTAGGGATACTGTTGTAGAAACTTTTGTGGGGCATTAGGGCCTAACAATCCCTGTAAGGAGAGAGATGCTAGGAAGGGTAAGTACGATATGGCTTTGCATGATATGTTTCAATCTAAGAGAATATGTTTGACCTTAAAAAAGATATGGCCATGTTGTCTGACCTTTAGAAGGAGGTGGATACTCATGACTCCCCTTTTACTTTAGCTATCAATATGTCTGAGTTACAAGTATCTTTGGAGGTTAAAGAGAAGGCTCCTGAAAAGGAAAAATCTTCTTTAGCGATGTTAACTTCTTAGTTGAGTGTGGCTCATGACACCATACAAAAGGAAAAATATTCTCGAGCAAGGGAGCGGGAGGCTCATACAAAAGATTAACGACAATGAAGAAGATAGTTGATGATGTTATCTGAAATTTTGTTTGATTGGTAATAGAATGTCACACATAATATTGGAACAATATGCACGAAACACATGAAGTTGTCACAAAAAAATAACAAATAAGTAAAATAAATGACACGGGTAGTTGGTAACCCATTCAATGCAAATTTACCTATATCTAGAGGGCTTCATCCTAATTCAGTGCTTTTTTCATAATACTACCCGTGAACTTCAACCCAGACTCCCATGAATCTGAGACCCATCTCACTTTCACTCAAACGCTCCCTCAAATGTTTGTACAATTATAGAAATATATGGCATGATAAATCACAATTAAAAACAAATACTCTATTCTTCAAACTTATGAAAGATATCCCCATAATAGAGTATCACAAACCTAAAACAAAAGACTAAATGAAAAAGAAAAAAAAAAAGGCAAGCTTAAATCTGCAAGGTTTAAGTCTTCGCATGTGGTAGATCCTCAACTTAAATAGCAACAACATCTAACATAAAACCTCGGTAGGATTTTTCGCAAGAAAACAAGTGGTTTCCAAAAAAATGCAAGTAGAGTCAATCTTCATAAAGCCAATTTTGATTTTTGAGTTAATTAAATCTAATTAAGTCATTGTCTGACATAAATAAGAATCACAATATCTTCAGCAGAGGATTGATAATAAAATCTTGTTGAACTAAAAATGCGTTATAAATCAAATCCTTGATTGAACAAAAAAAAATCTTGTTGGATTGAAACTCAATCAAGTCAGAACATCTTACTTAACATGTTGTCTATACAAATTTTCCAATCAACTGCAATAACAAAATCCCCTTTTAGAGAAAGTCTCATATATTTTAAGATGTAGGGGAAACATATTTATAAATTTGTTGCATAATATATCTATCATTTATTATATATATATATATATATATATATATATATATATATATATATATATATATATATATATATATATATATATATATATATATATATATATATATATATATATATATATATATATATATATATATATATATATATATATATATATATATATATATATATATATATATATATATATATATATATATATATATCACTTTTGGAATACTTAAAC